TGGAATGTATGGAATTGCATGGTTTTAACAAATAAATGTATCCCATAATGGTATGATGAATTTAATTTTGCTTATTATTATTCCCTAGGGTTCTGAGTGGGACACAGGAGTTCACCAGCACATCTTCACTTTGTCCTGCACTGTGCAATCCTCAGTAGCTGGTCCCATGATCGTCCATACTCTCATTTCTTCTTCACACGATCTCCTTCATGTCAATCTCGGACATACGTCCAACTTGTCGTTTCCTATTCAGATCCTACTCGATACCCTGACAGGGGATGTCACCCAAAGGTTTTCTCAGCATGTGTTCAATGCATCTCGATTTTCTTCTGAAAATTTGTTGAGCAATAGATTCCTGGTTGGTTTGTTTCCACAGTTTCTTGTTGCTGATTATTTCTAGCCATTTGGTCCTCAATATGAAGCGAAGGCAGCTGTGCTTAAAAACATCAACTACCAGTTGGAAATGCGTTTCGTGACCCACTGGCCAAGTTCCTTACCCATGCAAAAGAACTGACTGACTAAACAATGGTACTTTTGAAATCCAAATTCCTTTCTCTGTGCTATGGAGTTCAGTAGATCTCCATACTGATTTCACCGAGATGAAGATCTGTTTACAAATGGTGCCAGCATTAGTAGAAATAATATTATTAACAATATTCTAAGATATTTAACTGGTGGATGGTGACTAGCAGTAGAATCCAGCAGGACTCGCATTTCGTCCTATTTTGGACTCGTCATCCGGATGTACCTAAATTCCACAGTGACTGGTGATGTTCCCAACTAGGCTGGAATCCAGTGCCCCTAGTTTCAAACGCCAAAGCGTTATCCACTAGACCACTTGGGCCACAAGAGCCACCTCTTGTACAACGGGTCATATTAATTATATAATTGAAACATCTGCACAAAAAGCCGACATGTCAACCTGAGACTGAGCACTTCTGTCCAATCAATCGATGGGAAAACCCAAAATTCAATTATATCATATTCTAATATATCAGAGGCTATTGTTCCCATTTTGCTTTTCATAAAAATGCTCATATATATACAGACTTATCACATGAAAATACCTGACTAAAATAACCAAATAAATGTGACTGGGAAATAGGTAAGTTTTTTTCTAAATATTTCTGAATGTCAGTCATGTGTAACGCTTTACTACTCACTACTCAGTCGCGGCGTCTATCGCTTCAATGAGTCAGAAGAATAATCAATTGATTATTGTTGCGTTTTCTTTTTCTTTAAAATAGTATTATCTTCAGCATAATGAATACTAAATTTTCATCTTTTGTTTCATCTCATGTCAGTTGACGAAAGTGTGCATATGTAGTCGGCTAGTACTCATCAGCTGAATCACACTAGTAATGCATTAGAGTTGTATAAATGAAAAAAAGATGTATAAAGATAGTATATGATTTTCAAAAAAAAGTATGGCGACGTGATGGCATTTCAGTCATGTTATTCAGGCACTACTCTTCATACAGAATATTATCTGTCTTTTTTACCTAACTAACTAAATATTTTGCAGTGCAGACAAGTTAACAGATGTGAAATTTGACTCATAACTTCTTCTGTATTTTACCAAATATATTCCATAGATAGTTTATTTAAATATTGGGAGCTTTTACGCATACTACGAAATTCACAGTTTAAAGTATCAAATCAGATCAGATCACAGATTCAATAAATAGTAGTGGACAAAGGATGTACGTATTTAAATTAACGGTTTACTTTGTGTTTAACTTCGATTGCATTAAAGCGAGATTTCCAGTGAATCATTTATGATGGGGACATTTATTTTTTTCGAAAAGTATCTAGGTTGCTAAAGAACTATTGGAAAACCTGGGAGTACTGGACATCTGTTTCGTCCTAGTTTGGGACTCTTCACCAGTACGCACCCACCGGGGTTTGAACCCAGGACCTCCTGGTTACAAGGCGAGCTCGTAGACCATTGAGTCACTGGGACCCGATCCAATGGCCCATGATGATAAGATGCTCACTAGCGACTTGCCCTATTCAGATAGGTAGTTACCTAGAGTTCTAGTGAGAAGTCGTGACCAGTAGGATGCAGCAGGTCGGGTGTGAGGACAAATACTCGCCGAAGACATTGGCTAGTGGTCGCGCTATATCGTGAATTGACAGAAGTTAGAATTCATGGGTCGTTGGATCGGGTCCCAGTGGCTCAAAGGTCTACGAGCTCGCCTTGTAACCAGAAAGTCCTGGGTTCGAACCCCGGTGGGTGGGTACTGCTGAAGAGTCACAACTATTCAGTACTCCCAGGTTTTCCAATAGTTCTCTAACTGATGTCAGCTCATGAAGAAATCCTGTAACCAATCAAATCCCTGCAAACCAACACTTGAATATCTAAGTTGTCTTGAATATGCGTCGGTGGCACAGTGGTTAGGACTCTCACCGACCATGCACACAGTCCTGGGTTCGATCCGCTGCCGACGCATACCCAATATCTATGGTCGACCTGCAAAATTTGGGCTACCGATATCCATGCTGAAAATGTCATACTTGTACTGAAAATACGGTGTGGCACCAAGCTATCAAAATAAAAAAAATAAAAAAATATGTCTTCTGACTAGTCCCAAATTGGTCGAAATGCGCATCCTGAATTCCACCACTAGTCATCATTCGTTAAATAACAATATTGTAACAACTGAAATCGACTGGTTGTGGCCTGAACTCAGGAAACCGATCTCTGCGTTCCACTGTATAGCTGAAAAAACTTCCTTGAGAGGCGCACAGTCACAAAACACTCTAAAGACAGCAAAAAGACTATTGGAATCATTGTTGGAATCTATGTGTAGTTCTGTTCAGCAATAATAATATGAAAAACTCAAAATTACCTCAATTGAGCCGTTAGACAGCTATACAGGCAATGTAGGTTTCTAAGCATAAAACAAGCACTGTAGAACAAAATGAGTTAATAAAAAATCAACTATAAGAAGTACCTTAGAATCAAATAGAATATTCACAAAAAAATTGGGATAGAAACTCTGCCAACAAGAATCATACAAACAATTCCCGCAGACAGTTTAAGGTCAAAATCACCTTGACTCACTCAAACAAAATCACATCGTAAAACAACATACAATCAATATACACGTAACCACAAAAAGAAGCATTAAAATTGGAGATTAAAAGGGGACAAATACATATGGTAATTATCAAGTCAACAAATGATAAGCGGTTGTCAGAACAATGATATATAGTCTGGGAGAGAAACAGATAATAATTACAAAGCTCCGAAAATACCCATTGAGTCATGAAGAAAATGAAAGACAATTCAGTGAAGAAAATTTTATTTTCGACGAAGTCATCAACTGGGCTGTACATTCCTGTATTTATATTAAATGTGTGAGAATGTTCCAGAATTATTTCCGATGAAACGTCAAAGCTAGTTGAAGCATCCGAATAAATATAAATATTGTAATTAGGTCATTCAAGAGGGATTTTGCAAACAATTATCCCCTTACAGACATTATGTTTAACTCCCGATTGTTTAGATATATGAGAAAAAGGACTTTCATCGGCTTTTGTGTGTACCAGCCAAAAAGAATACTTTCTCTTCATTAGTTCATCAATTCTCCTTTGACATCCACTAATGTTATTTCACATGCAGGTTAATCATATTTTCTAAGGAACCAATAGAACCTCGTCTAGTTTACTTGCCGTTCTTCAATGTAGAAGAGAGTGGGAAGGTTGGGTGTGGTTCAAGTAACCTCATAACTACTAAAAAATCATACGACAGAAACAATAAACTTTTCATCCGATGGAATGTAGAAGCCCTCTCAACTCGAGAACAGATAACACTGTCTGGTGGAAACTTCAAGGAAATCAGTTAGCTGATTTGTTTTCTTTTTTCTATGAAAGCTAAAGTAAACATAACACACATGAAATATTCGCACCATGTTTGAAGCTTACTGATAAGGCAGCTCTGATTGCAGATATAAATGAGAAGAAATAGTATAGAAGTGTTAAGAACCTGTGATGGCGGCGGATACAACAGTAATGAACTCTCATAGCTGTTAACTGCACAGTCGATAATCTACTCCGATCAATCAGATGACAATCACACTCTAACCAAAAGCCTAAAAAGGTTTTTTGATTTTGATTTACAGCTTGATTCCACACCGTATTTTCAGTACAAGTATGGAAATTTCAGCATGGATATCGGTAGCCCAAATTCAGGCCGACCATAGATATCGGGTGTGCGCCGGCAGGGGATCGAACCTCGGACCATGCGCATGGTCGGCGAGAGTCCTAACCACTGTGCCACCGACGCACATGTAATCAGCACTAATCTCGTCTAAGATCATGACAGCTACAGTCAACACCAAAGGAAAGAAAGTCATAATTACACGAGGTTTCATGTTTGCCGATGAAGCCCAAAGAATGATTAATAACAAGCATACAATGAAAAGCCATTGGAAGAATATGTTTGCAGTCGTGTGACATAACACTAGATAGGCTCTTACCTTATATAATCTACAAATATGTGGCATTAATTGATTAAACTATTATAGTATATGAAGATTATTCAGTCAAAACACCTTCAACCATTCGCAAGTTAAAATAAAGGTAAACTAAGTTTACTTTTCTGCTTTTTAATTACTTAAGGTAATCACCCGCATAACAAAATCTTAGGCAATTCGAAACATCCAACTGCAATGATGCCATTGGCCAGATACATATCAACAGCATTATTCTGCATAGTGGTTATCAATAAGCTAACTAATGTTTATAGAAAATACTGTAACACTATACTATAATTATCTTTGAGACAATTTAAACGACTCTAATATTGAATATTTAGCAATTTGTGTGTATTATTAAAAGTATTTCTCAAGTCTACTTGGTTAACAAAGAAAGAGTTTTTCTGCTGTCTCAGCTGAAATAAACTGACTTTAGTGGTTGGATATATATACATATTATATTTAACATTATCAAAGATATATATATTAAATAATTATCAGCAATAAACTGTTCAAACTATGGATGATAACCTGGATAATGATAGTATACGGACAGAGGATTATGTAACAAAGTTTAATGAAGCTATAGACTTACCAAGTGAGTTAGCTATTCATGAATTTATACCTTGATGTGTTACTATTTTAAACTAAAAAGAGGCCTACTGATCTACTAATGTCTACTAGAGACATGAAGTAGTCCCAGTGAATTAAATCTGGCTTGTTCCTCAGTGTTCTAAACATAACAGTGATTTCTGAGTTGGTATAGTTTTAATGTTTAGATAACTAAAAGATTTATAGTGCATGTTAGGATAGTTTATTTATCCAGTTGATATCTATCAGATACACATAGTGTACGATATTTCATACTGAAAGGACCCAATGAAACACTATTATTGTTATTATTATTATTCATTCAAAGCATTCAAAATGGGAAATAGACATTCACAGAGACATTTCACTTCCATTTGGTTCTCTACCATCCCATTCATCTGGCTAAATAACTTTCTACAAGTTTTCAAGTACTGATTTTGTAGGAATTTTGTGTGTTTGACTGGTTGGAGGGTATCATCATGAGCTGATATCAGTTAGAGAACAATTCAAAAACCTGAAGGGAGTACTGGACAGCTGTTTCGTCAGACTTGTTTCGGGACTCTTCATCACCCCACCATAGGGGTTCAAACCCAGGACCTTCTAGTCACAAGGCGAGCTAGCTTGTAGACCATTACGCCACTGGGACCCGATCCAATGGTCAGTGCTAAATTATGACAAGCTTTCATTTCCTGTTCTCATGATCCTCTCTATTTCACCCTCGGACAAATGCGAAACTCATGGCTCTTTATTAGAGTTGCGCTGGAGATCTTGATTAGCACTTGACTTCGTTCAACAGTCTATTCAGCGTATGTGAATTACACCTTCAATTCCTTTGCATATTTATTGGGCCAGGTATAAGTTCAGGGCTGGTTCAATGACTGCTAGACTTATTTGTTGCTTGCTTATCCTTTGTACCCAACAATTTCATCTTCAGTACCCAGAGAGAGAAAGCTTATACTGATGAAATTCTACATCACGCTGTCCGGGATGTGTGCAGAAATTCTGTGAACCACTGTGAAACACTGATTTAATATTGGCGTTAAAATTCTGATTTTATAGGTGAAATATTAGACAAGGCAATAAGTTTAACAAATGATATTTTCAATGATCTACTTTTCTATAGTTGTACAATTATAATTTTATGAGTTTTCGTTCATCAAAGTTGTATATTTACAAGTGCTATTTAACTGGACATAGAATGACAGAAATGAAATTAAGTAGCGACAATAGATTCTTGTCTAAAAATACAGTTACGTAATATGTCAGACAATTCATGGAATTTAAATGTCAAAAACTACTATTAAATTATTTGAAATAAGTTGTTTGTCCTAAAATATTCTTTAACATCAAGTTCTTGAATTTCAAAGACAGATTAGTTCAACTACCCCACATACCGTGATCTTATATCTGACTTCATTGGTAGACATCAGCTTTTACAAGTGGTTAGGCTCTTTCATTAAAATTTTGGAAGCTTATTTTAAGACCAGCCTTATGATTAATCATTCTGCATCGGTGGTTCAGCATTACAGTGTTCATCAACCACACATGTGGTCCGTGATTTGATTCCCAGCAGATGCACTTCTAAGCCTTGCTGGCCTGGCAGTAAGCCTGGTAAACAGCGAACGCTTGGTGTGAGTCTAGCAAATCCAACCCCGTAAAAATAAAACCACTTCAAAAGAAACTTCAAATTTCAAGATTGAAGCCCTATAATGCCCTCGAAACATAGAGAAATAAAATAAAAAACACAAATTTATTAAGATTTCGAGTTCGATAGAGATTTGGATTGCTTTCAGCATGAATTTCATCAAAAAAATAATTCTCGTTACGAAATCACTGGAAATCAGGGAGTATTGGATGGCTGTTTCGTCCTAGTTTTGTCAGTCTGCGGCAGCATACACCCATGAGCTTCCCCCCCCAGGGGTCGGACCCAGAACCTTCAGGTATCATGGCCAGCCTATTAACCATTTGGTAACTGGTTCGCAATTCGATGATCTATGAATTCAATCTTATGTCAGTTCGCAACAAAGCACTTCTGTCAATCAGTGCCAACAACTGCCAGCTGCTTGTAGGATGAGGTCGTGTGTGAGTACAGCCAAAAAGTTCCAGACTGTCCAGTGCTCTTTAGTTTATAATGTCTAAGTACATAGAATTCTCTTCTAGAAGCTGCTGATGTAAGCCACCATCACTAGGATTAAAAGTACCTGGAGTAATTCCGTTTAAAAATTCCACTTAATTTCATGTTTAACTAATTTCCAACTTAGTGTAACCTGAGGATATTGATTGATGTTATTAAATCCTTTTGACCAGTATCAGTAGCGTAAATGTATATAGTAAACCAATCGACTTGCAACGTTTCGGCAGATATACTTAAAAAGTCTACAATGAAAAATACACGAGCTAGTAAAGTTGTAAAAATAGAAAAGGTGTTACATGAAACATTTTTGAAACCATGTGATTTGTCAAAGAAAACTGTAAAATAATAATCCAACCAGTTAATATAAACAGAATATTGGTTCGAGGGTTTAGAGGAATATTTTCACTTGCTGTCAAATGTCTGAAATAGGAGAACAATTTCATTCATAATTAAAATACAATACTGAGTACTATCTAAAAATTACTCTATAATTTCAGTGAGTTTTCTGTTTAGAAATAACGGTGAAGTGCACTGCAGCTATCAAGAGATAGCTCTGAAAGCTAAATAGATCTAAAGATGTGAATCAATGTGGATTTTGAAATCACGAGTATTTGTCAGGTAACTTTTTACCTCATCAGAACACATGTTGCAAGTTATTGTATTATTACTATCACTTTCCGAGATATATATGTGATTAGTTCAGTGAATAGATGTTTTCTTCGATTTGGGGACTCTTCAAAATTAACAAACGATGACCACACTAAGGGTCTGACCATAGAGCTTTGGGGTGATGAGGCGCATTTCTTGTTGAATCACTGAACCTTGTCTAGCTGGTGGTAAACATGAAAAAGAAAGAATTTCGGGCGGGAGACTAGCGACCCTACACCATGGAAACCATACCAACTCTACTGAAACCTTAAGAAGTAGGCTTGACGTCCTATGTCGCATTAGAATGCAAGGATATCCACACGAAATAAAATAACTTTAAAGTATGTTAGATGTCTATCTCGAAGAAGTGCTATATATAGGTTGGGTGCGTTTTCACTTCCATCAACGAGGTGTATCCACAAAGTCGAAGAAACTCACTGTGGATACAGTGGCACTGTATCACTTAACGTACTACCTACATGTTATATCTGACTGATAGATTCCAACTAACAGACAGATAAAACAGAAACGGATGATATCATTTTATTAACTAATATTACATAACACGATCAGCTCACTGTTAATGATTTATATACGTCTTGTCCTACACTTAAAATTTTGAAAAGAGGGACTTAAAGCCTGTTTTATTGTTATCCCCTTGACTTCCACGTGAAACATAGGGCTTCAATAAGACATCTCCACTTTGTTCTGTTCTCTGCTGTTCTCTTCAGCCGGGTCCACGACTGACCATTATCCCTCATCTCCTCCTCCCCCAAACGATCTCCTCCATGTCATACTCGCACCGATGCCCCACTGGTCGCTTCCCATATGAATCCCACTCGAGTGATGACTTGCGTTGCGCGCGATGTCATTCGACGACCTCCTCAACGTATGCCCGATCCATCTCCATTTTCTCCTACATATTTGTTGAGCGATCGGCTCTTGGTTGGTTTGTTCCCCTGCAGAGTTTCTTGTTGATAATTCTTTCTGGCCGGCCAGCTGGCCATTTGATCTTCAGTATAGAACCAAGTCAGTTGTTGATAAAAGTTTGCAGTAGCTTGTTGAAAATGCTTTTCGTAACTCTCAGACCAAGTTTCTGACCCATATAGAAGAATTGACTAACTTCACATTTATGTTGAACTTAAAGTCTGTGCACTATGATAAATTATCAGCTGAAATATTACAAGAACTACTAACGAAAATATTTCTCCTGTAGGAATGAAATTAATAAATATTTGTTTCATTTTTAAATGTCCTAACGCATTAAAATTAAACAAAATTTACCGCATAAAGTGATATTGTATCTTTTTCCAGCTAATTAAGAAAAGACATCAAGTTTCTTTACTCAATGTATAACACAGTGAAACATTATTATTTGTTGGATGAAGTTTCGACTACAATTTATTGATCATAGTCGTATGAATCGTAACTAGGCAACTTTAAAATCAGGCTTTTAGAATTCTCACTGTTTTTTTTTTCTTATTCTTCATAAGTATAGTAGAATTTTCAAATTGTTCAGGATAAATGCTGAATTATTTTTACTGTATGTATTCTCATGTTAAGTATTCGACTATTAAAGCCTTAGTTATTAACCTTGCCCTCTCCACCATGTTACATCAGATCCTAAGAATAACACTTTGTCTCATCCTACTATATGGTACTGCCTACCTATATACAGTGATATAGCCCAGCTTTTTGCTTAATCTATTATCTTAGTTATCAAGTCATATTCTCTGAGCTTTTGTGTTCAAAGATCTCGTGATCAAAGTAGCAAATCGGGGTCAATTAGATTAAGGTAACACTGTTAAAATTCAAGTAGCTTCCAATTCACTTACTTTTCCAGTGGATGGATCCACTTAGTGTACCACTTGTGCTACATTATACCCTGATATCTAGAAAGTTAAATTTTTTCTGTCAGTTTTATATTCCGTGGTGAAATGGAAATGTACGGCTAAACCCTTTGCCCCACTCAAAATACAAGAAATGAATAATAATGATATTTTTAATTCAATTTTAGATTTTCCCATCGATTGATTGGACCAAAGTGCTCGGTCTCACTGAGTTCCAGCCTCTGTGGGAACATCAACACTCACTGCGGAATGCAGGTGCATCCAGATGATGAGTCTCAAATAGGATGAAGTGCGCATCCTGGATTCCAGTGCTAGTCACCATCCACCAATCTACAATGATATAGTGTGAAATTAATGTTCTAGTGGCTTTTCTTT